GATGGAAAATACTGTTGCAAAACCTTCCAGCCAACTGCTTGGCTAAAGAGGCGTCTGTGGACTCCTCATCAGGATTCTGGGGTTCTGAGCAGGGCCTCCCCATTCTACGTAACAGGAAACTCAAGGGCCTGGCATGTGGCTTCTGGATCAGAGGTGACTAAGGCTCTTGTCGGAGAACATCTGGTATCTCCACGCATTTTTGCAGACATCCGACCACATGCCAACTACATGCCGACTACATAAAGGAACCGCTGGCAGTTGGCTGAAAGGGTTCGCAACAGTACCTTCCATTTGGAGATGAACATTTGCTGATTATTTTTGGTTTTTTCAACATTTCCCCAGGGCTTCAGGAAAAGCAGAGAAGTCATGTTAACTCGTTAGCAGGGTTTTAAGGAAAGCGTAGAGAAGTTACTGTTAAAGCCCCCTTGACTATCGTAAAAACACTCGCTGGAACTGTTTATGTGCAGAAGGACAGAGAGAGGAACTAGAGACTGAGATGAGGAAGAACATGCCCTGGCCAAAAGGGACCCATAAATCCCAGTGTGCTGCCTCTCACCACCCCCTCCAAAGTTCACAAATCAGACGTGTTACATGAAGACCTAAGGTCGGCTCTGAAGTGAAAAAGGCATCGGGGAGGCCTAGCTGCCTAAACAACCCCTCATCTCCCGGAGGAAAATGAGTATTTATTGAAAGCCTGCTGAAGACACGAGAGAATCCTGGTGACATAGTGGATTAAGTTTTGAGCTGTTAACCACAGGTCTAGGGTTCAGACCTACTAACTGCTCTACAAGAGAAAGACGAGGTTTTCTTCTCCGGTAAAGATTGACAGCCTCCAACACCCTCTAGGGAGCATTGCCCAGGGTTGCAATGAGTCAGAATGGGCTCGATGGCAGTGGGTGGGTGGGGGTGCTGACTGCGGACACCCTGCACTCACTCCTATCCAGCCCTCCACTCAAGTTCTAAGCAGTGGCCAAAGGGGCCTGTTAAAAACGTGAATTTGTCATGAGGATTATAAGAATTAGTCTTTGTAAAGTGATGACAGGCATTACAACATAGTAAATGCTACAGAAATGACTAAAAAGCAAATACATGTAATTCTAGCGCGGCCCGCCTCCCATTTAAAACTCTTCAGAGTATCAAATGCAAACCTCTGCACTGCCTGTCTCTGCCTTCTGCCTCCTCACCACCCTCCCCCGGGGCTAGTCTCACTCCAGGGCTTATTTCAGTTCCTGGAGTCAAGCTACCTCCTGGCCTTGGCACAGGCCACCCCCTCTCCCTTGAGCATGTTTCCCAGATCCTCTCTTGATTTGATTTCACTTCAACTCCTCCTTCTCACACTTAGGAATCCGCCCGTGAAGCAGCCAGGAAAGGGCAGGTCCCTAAAATATACGGCTGTCGAATGAATGCATCCATTAAAAACGTTTTTAGTACAGTCTCATTTAAGACCGTTGGTGAGAATCAACCGAGGTCGCGTGGCGGAGTGAAGATTCGAACCCACGACGTTCTTCTAGTTCTCCAACCCACGGTCTGACCACCGTGCAGAATGCCGGACGCAGGTGGGCTGGAGGCGAGTTTAAAGCAAGTGCAGGTCTCTGTGCGCTGCCAAGGACGACCCCGCGGGCGCTGGCCTCAGCCCCAGGGAAGGGGCACCCGCGTCATGTGTTCCCCGAAGGGACAGCCGCCGCCTCACCCCGGGGCAAGAATGCGGCCCCGCCCGGCTCAGCGCCCGCAAAACCGCGCGTGCCCTTAGGACTGACGTCAATGAAGGGGAAGCCTCCCGGCGCTGCTCGGGGGCGGGGGGGAACGACCGGGAGATACGCCCCCTCGTCGCTGATTGGACGTAAGAAATGACTGCATTCGGTATTACCGGTCGGCTGGGAAGGGGCGGAGCCCGGACACGCCCCTCTCCCCGTCTCCCGCTGCTGATTGGCCCACGGAGACTCCGCGTTCGGGTTTTGGAAGGCTCGCTCCGGCGCTCCCTCGAGGCCCGAGGCCCGAGGATTGGCTGTTCCGGGGTTAGGAGCGCGTTCCCCGGGGAATCGTGGCCGGGACTGAGTGGCTTGGCCGCCCGGGTGCTGCGTTTGGCCCTCCTTGGGCAGTCAGGTGCGTAGGCCGGCGCCCGGCTCGCCGCGGTGATGAGGAGCGGGCGGGCATGCGGCATGGAGGTGCCGCTGGGACCTGGACCATAGGTCCACTGAGGGGCCCGTCGTTCTGCGAAACGGCCACGTCTGGGTCCCGGCGACCGACTCGTGCTGGAGATGTCGCCGTGCTACCTCGGCCGAGTGCCCGTCCTCCCGCGAACGCCGCCTGGCCCTTGTGAGCCCCTTCGCGGCAGGAAGCCCCCCCAACGCTGCGCGCGCCCGGAAGGGGCTGGGTGGCCCCTCGCAGCTTGCTGGGGTCGCGATGCGAGGTCGGCGGGTCTGCGCTGCGCTCCGGCGTAGTGAGTAATCGCGGTTACCTCCCCGGGCCGGCCGAGTGCCAGGCTCGGAGGCTGGCTGCGGAGCCCCGCCTTCGGATCCCCGCGCCCCCCAGTATCTGCTGCCGCAGAGAGCAAGCAGGTTCAGCAGTCAGAGCCCTCTGAAGGCCTGTCAGCCATCTGGCAGGAATGCCAGTGGGTTGAAATTTGAGCCTGGGGGGCAGACTGCCTGGATTCCTAGCTTTGGGCCAGCTACTTAACCGTCCTCAGCGCTGTGATCTGTAGAATGGGTGCAAGTCAGCGTCTACATCGGAGATGAACTGTCTCAAAAGTGCTTGTTTACCCTCTTGACACACAGCGAGTGGCCGCAAAGTCAGGGATGATTTAAAAGTCTGCACCTGAATCCATCTCCCTCTGCCCACTTTTCCCAAGAGGGGAGGCCATCATTTGGTGGGGTTTGATGTTGGTGGGGATGATTAAAATGCCAGGGATCTTATAGTCTGTAGTGGGATTTTCCCGTATGTCATTCATTCAATGAACCCACATTATCTCCCGGGTGCCGGGTACTGGAATGGGTGTTTATTTCCCATGTGCCCTTAAGAGTTAACTTTTCCTTACCTTTGTGACGATGGTAGGCTAGCCTCAAATCACCCACCTATTAATGACACAGACAGAATTCCGAGTTCTAGAACTCTCCCTGCCAAATCCCAACCGGATTTCCTCTTCCCCTTAATTTTTAAAAAATTCCATTAATTTTTAAACAGTTGATTGTGAATTAGGCGAAGATCTGGTTTTACATTCAACAGCTCATTCACATTGTGTTTCAGTTCGTCACTGCGAGCCTTTGGCTGGGCCATCACCAACCCTGTTTCCTAACCTCGGAACTTTGTCACTGGGTTAATGCTGCCCTTCTGATCTTAAATGGTTGATTATTCCACCATAAGTGTGAGTTCAGATGTGGGTGGGAGGGCGGCTCCCACCTGTTTTCTATCCTTCAGTAAGCCTGGTCTGTTTAATGACTTTGCGTGTTGTTCCTCATTTTCCTCCCGCTCTACCCAGGTCTTTCTAATGCGATCCTTTCAGTGCAGTGGGTGGTGGTAGCTGGGCATCACCTAGTTCTTCTGGTCTCCAGGTTGTGGAAACTGATGTTTGCATGGTTCGTTAGTCCCTTGGACTAATTGTTTCCATAGGTCTTAACGTTTTTTACCATTCTCATTTCTTTGATGCCACAGAGAACAGCTGTTGCAACTTCGATGGATTTTAAAATGCAGCTAGATTCTGTCTGTCCGTCTCCCTGTGAGTGCGGTGAAAACAGACAGCCCCAAACAGCTGCCAACTCTACTTCCACACGTCCAGCTCACGGACACTGCTGACACTTCTCATGCTGTGCCATCCTCATCCAGAAGAGGCTGCCACCATTAACGTCAACTCCACACTCTTCCCCCAATATTAAGTCTCCCCCTCTCCTCCTCCCTTGAGTTTCCACCCCAGTACCCATTAATAATCTTTTAAAAAAAATTATTGGCATATACTTCACATAGCAGATAGTTGAATTGTTCAATCGTCTGACATGTTCAATCCATGTCAGAACATTTTCTTCCAGTTCTTGTTAGCTTCCCATTTCCCCCCTCTTCCCCTGCCAGGCCCCTAGGCAATTATTCACCCAGTTACCCTCTCTTTAGATCAGCGGTGCAGGTGACCCTTTCACAGGGGTCGCCCGATTCCTAACAGTAGCAAAATGACAGTGATGAAGTAGCAACGAAGATAATGTTATGGTTGAGGGGTCAGCATGAGGAACTGTATTAAAGGGTCGTGGCATTAGGAAGGTTGAGAACCACTGCTCTAGATTTTCCTATTCTGAATTTCATATACAAAACACAAACAGGAAGCGAGCAAACAAACCAAAAAACCCAACAACGACTAGACAAAACAGACAAACCTCAATCAAAAAGCAGAAAAAAATATTAAAAACCGAGACTTTAAAATGGGTCAGAAGGGAGATCAAATGGACGATAAGGGACTACATTTTAACCTATCTGCTATGGTAGACTTTACAAGACTCTCATCTTTGCTGTATCTCTTTATTTCTTGTACGCGAGGCCATACAGTATGTGTCCCTTTGCGAGTGGCTAATTTTGCTCAGCCTACCTAACACTTTATTTTCTCCAGTCTAACATTTCCAAGGTTCGCGCATCCATGGGCTTCGTCTTCTTGAAGACAGCATAGTACTCCTCTGGATGTCTGTCGCGTTTTGCTTACCCATTCATCCGTTGGCAGACATTTGGGTGTGGCCACCTCTTGGCCAAGGTGAAACGGCCGTGGTGAACTTTGGTGGAACATGGGAAAGTGGGTTCAAGGTCTAGCAGCGGTTTATTTCCAGGACGTGTCCGAGTTGTTCTTGAGAGGGCCGGGCTCCTCGCTCCTCGTCCCCGCATGTAGCTCTGGGGGCTGACGTGTGACAGTGCGCTCAGGCTTACGTACATGGCCAGAGTGGCCCTCCCCCTCGGGGAGTCACAGGCTTTGGCTGCTGTCCATTGGCAGGTCTGTGCCGGGAAACGAGCCAAGGCCACAAGCTTCGGTTTGGCCTTGCTCTTGAGCCTCCCGTTCTTTTTCAAAGAAGCCAGGGCCTCTGATGATAATCAGAGATTGCCGGGCAACAGAGATTACTGGAAGCGGGGCAGGCTGGTGGGCAGCAGGTACAGGCTGTCCCTTATGGTTCCTTCCCCTTGCCTCTCCTGAGAGCCAGGAGCGTTAGCTAGAATAATCGCCTTGAATGGCCATCCATGGAACAAAGAGCGCTCAGCTATCCATGCACTGTAAACCCATCGCCTGGTGAGTCACGTGTGAATACATACAGGTCTTGGCCTTGCTCTGCATGTCTTCACTCATTGGCTGTTTCGAAACAAGTTGGACTTTGTCATTTTCAACTCATGGCATTTACTTTGGGGGCTCACTTTTAACTGAGTTCAGGCCAGATTTGGAGTGTTTTGCAATCTGTTTGTACTTGTTTGCTCGCCGACCCAGCCTTATCTTCTCGTATGTGAGCTCTAAAATGAACAGGGGTGACCTTCTGATAGGCCTGTGGTTTCATTTCCCGGCTTAGAAGGACCCTCGTTCAAGTGTCCCCTGACTTATCCTGGATAGGATCTTGTTCTGGACATTAGGGGCAGGAGCAAATGAGCACTCCGGAAGATACAGAAAAAGCACTTTTAATATTAAGATGCGAACACCGTTCTGGTTTATCACTTCATCGTTTCTCCTAAAGTTTATCTAAACGGACCTAAAATCTATGGATTTCTATCCTCCAGCTCCCATGGCTGTCTGAATCCCAGAGTGGAAGACAGAGCCAAGAAGGAGAGATCTCAAAATTGGGAGATTCCCAGGTCTCCCCCCCCAGGCTTGAGGCTGTTGGAGCCCCGGGTTGTGGGTTTGTAACTGGCTGAAGGCTGTCGTGTTGGGACCCTGCGGCCCTGCCACAGGCTGCTGGAATGCTCAGGAAGTCTAGCTCCAAGCTGCTTCCTCCCCAGGAGACATAGGCTGCTACTTGATCCATTCTCTGAGAGGAGGGTGAGTTTTCCTGTAGGAAGACACACACCCCTTCTTCCTTCTCCTCAAACCCACCGAGGAGTGGCTCCTGACCCTGGCCTAGGTCACCAGAGTACTTTCCAGGAATGCTGCTAACTTCAAGGACAGAGGTTCAAGCTCACCTGCTGCTGCTCTGAGGGAGAGAGCTGAAGCAGCCCGCTTCTGGAAAGATTGACAGCATCAGAAGCCCTCTGGAGCCATTCTCCTGTCCTGTAGGGTCACGTTGAGTCCCTATAGCAGTGGGTTTGGGGTTCCCAGCTCCTAATCCCACTGCCACAAAGCAGTGGCTGGACTCCAAGGAGGACGAAGGAGGGAGAGAGAAGGGAGTGACTGATGAGCTGGGCCTGTCGACACACGCAGTTACTCCTGTCCCTGCAGACAGCAGACCCATCCCTCATTCCTTGCAGGCCTAGCCCAGTCATGAAAGCCGAGACACTCCACGCTGGGCCACACCCTCAGAGACCAGCAGCTCCAACCTGTTCGTAACTGTAAAGGGAAGGAACCAGGCCTTGTAGATCAACTGCGGCCTTAGCCAGGGTGGGGCAGAGCCTAGCCTCGCGCTCCCACTTGTAGACCAGCACTCTGCCCGAGACCGCGTTGTCGTGCCCGATGTGCTTTGTGGAATACGGGGATCTTCAAGGCTAGGGCAGCCTGGCCAGAGCCCCGGCACTAGGGTTCCATGGATGGGCTAAAATCCCACCTGCACCCCCTGCTTGCCAACAACTCATTAGTTGTCCTTCCCTTTCTACTAGGGAGCGCGATGGTGTAGCAGGTGATGAGTTGGCCTGCAAGCTGACCCACTCAGCTGCTTCAGGGAAGAGGACAGATCTTCTGCTCCCGTGTAGATTGACAGCCTCAAAACCCGCCCCCCTGGGGCCGTTCTGCTCCGTCCCATGGGGTCGCCTTGAGTGGGTAGTGAGTTTTAAGCCCTCTGTTGGAGGCCTGCCCTCTCGAGAACTAGGGAAGCAGTTGGCAGTGAAGTGTTATAAAGAGGTGTGCTTGAAGCTGCCTGACTGGGAAGGCCACTCGGGGCTTTTAAGCATGGCTAAGGCACTGAGATCTCTGCCTGGCTTTCGGCCCCGCTTGCATTTCTGAAACGTGGCAATAGTGCCTACGTTCATTCCGAGGATTCAAACAGGCCATGCGTATTGACTGACACGGGATACGCACCTTCCTGTCGTCAAGCCAGCCTCAGACTCACAGGGCAACATGGTGTAAAACCCTGCCTGGTCCTGCAGCGGCCCCGGGTCAGTTACAGATTGGTCACATCATTGGGACCCATGGGGTGGTGTTCAGCAGCAGATCAATTATCAGACCTCTCCTCGCTGAAATCCCTCCGGCTTCTTAACAGAGCACGCAGGGCTCCCTCCACCCAGGCCCCCACTGGCAGGTGGGTGGTGGCAGTGCCTAAAGTACTTTGGCTGAGAATCAGACCGAACCAACACCCAGTTAGCTTTGATTTCTCTTTATCACGCTTAGAAGGGTCACCTGGTGACTGTGCCATTTTCTGGTCACAGTATGTTCAAGTCACCCAGTTCTTAAAGGGGCTTGCCTGCCACGCGTCTTAGGTTTGTTCACTGCATTTAATCTATTTGTAAATTCATGGTTAAGTATCTCGGGAAGGCAGACTAGGGGTTCATTGGATTCCCATAGTTGTGCCTCAAGAGAAGCAGCTTTTACGACACCCATTCTCCAGCTAACAAGCCCAGTCTCTGTGAGGTTACTCTATCTGACGTCTTGTACAGATTTATTTTAGTTAATCTTTTGGAAAGAAACCAGGGTTCAGTGACGGTAGGCACAGAAACAAGGGAGGAATGACTGCAGTAAGGAGGTAGCTATTTGATGAGGCGGGAAGGGAAGGTCCGGACCGGGGAGGGCAAGTCGAATTTTGAGTCTGAACAGGGTGGAGAGAGGACTCAAGAGACAACAGGCAGGTTCGGGGGCTTGTACCTGCTGCCGCTTCGCTGGGGTCACCAGCTGCTGTCAAGCTGGGGCAGAACTCTGCTCCACAGCGTTCTCGATGGCTGATTGTGGGGGGCAGTGGGTTGCCAGGCCTTTCTTCTGAGGCTGCTGGGGGTAATCCTAAATGCCCCCTTTGTTTAGCAGCCCGCCGTGTCAACCATTTGTATCACCGAGGATTCCAGGTTGGGGGATAGGGAAATAGAAATGCTTTTATTGAAAAACATGATTTTTTTTTTTTAAACAAGATTCTGTACTGTGTGGTTTGTTTACTTTTTTTTTAACTATGAGCATGCAAATATTTTATTTGAAAAGTTTTTGGTTCCCAACTCCCACCCTCACCCTTTAAAGCCAGGTAGTGGTTGACAGATATCTCTGTAGCTAGCTAGCCAAGGGGAAGAGATCTATTCAAGTAGCCAGGCCCTAATGGGTTAAACTATTCCGTTCATCCTAGGGCTTTGGGGCAGGGGCGGAGGGTACAGGTGTGTCAGCTTGCTACTTGGAAAAGGAGGGTCCACGTTACACCCCTGACCCAGGTGCAAAGGTGACTGACATACATGTCACTCTTGCTGGGCACCTTCAGAGTAACCTGCAGTAGCCCGTTTTACAGTTAAGGAAAAAGGCACAGAGAGGTTGCGTAGCTCACCTGTGGTCACACAGCTAGTCAGGTGGCAGGGCTGGGGTTCAAACCCAGTTCTATGTGAATGCTGACGAGCTCTCCTTGGTCTTCTCTGGTCTATCGGCTATCTCCTGAGCCTGTCGTTTTTCCAGATTGTGCTCCAGTCAAGGATCGGGGTGGGTGTGCGCCCAGACGAATTTTCTAGACCCAAGGGAGATACTTTGATTTTCATTTGATAGGGGTGGGGGATTGACCCAAGAGACTAATTTCTAGGGAGGTTTTCTTATCATTTTCAGCCTGTGCTTAGTGTCAAAACCAAACCCTCTGCTTCATGTCAGTCCCTCATTTCCCTTCAATGGCTCGTGGGTTTGAACTGCTGGCCTTTTGGTTGGCAGTCCAGTGCTTACCTGAGAGCACCACCAAGTCTCTGTCTGGCCAGGGCAGAAAATACTGCCCCTTTTTGCCCCACCTCTCTTGCTGCAAGGCATTTGGACTGTGGTGAGATCTGATTGGTCAGTTCCACGTGTGCCTTTTCTCAGTTTCACACATGGGAAAACAGACTAGTACAACATTGGGCCCTTAACATACTTTCTGGGCCCTTCTGAGTGTGTCTTGTGTCTCCACTCAGCCCTCCACAAACTGGTCTTTCCTCACCATGTGTGAGTTACTTAACCTCTCTGTTCCTGATTCTTCATCTGCGAGGAGGACAGAAGTAGCCTCCCCGGGCTCTTGGGCTTACATCTCATTGCTGTTCTGCATGTAGTTTTCATAGCAGTACCTGATACATCTTGAGCGGCTGCTGCTGGCGTGGACATCATTTGAACCTGGAGACCCTGCCTTAGGGTGGACTGTCCAGCTAGGTAGCTCCGAGCTCTAAGTCTGCTGCTGGCCCTACACTGGCTCGGACTGTCGAGTCCATTCCGACTCCTAGCCACCCTGCAGGTCGGGTTAGAACTCACAACGGTGGGAGCCCGACGTTCCTCATCTGACTCCTGAGGAGCCACTGGAGGGGGTGGTCATTTAACCCAAATTACACTTCATCTGTCAAACGGGGCTGTTGTCAATAACGGCGGTACAACAGGAGGAGGAGAATCAATGGCACTGGATTCTACATGTAGAAGTTGTTGGTGAATGTTTTGTGTCTACTTTTGCCAAAACTAAAAAAAAATAAAAAATTATATGAATAAAAAATAAATAAAAGGGGGCTAAGTTTACCCCACAGGCTGCTGCTGTCTTCAGCTGAGATGGCCGCGCATGTGACCGACAGGTGGTATGCTCTGACGAGGGCGAGCCCGGGCCTCATCGTCCCAAGGTGCTCAGAGGCCTGCCCCTCTTACACTCCGGGCGGGCGTGGCAATGCCAGGAGCCCTTGCATCAGACGGGACCCCGGGTGTGGGCAGCTGCTGATGCTCGTGCGTTCCTTCCTCAGAGCACCCAGATGGGGACCCCGGCCTCAGTGGTGAGTGAGCCGCCCCCGTGGCAGGCCCCGCCGGCCGCCCGGGGACGAAAGCAGGCGTCGGCCAACATCTTCCAGGACGCCGAGCTGCTACAGATCCAGGGCCTCTTCCAGCGCAGCGGGGACCGGCTAGCCGAGGAGCGGGCGCAGATCATCTGGGAGTGTGCCGGGGACCACCGTGTGGCCGAGGCCTTGCAGCGCCTGCGCAGGAAGAAGCCCCCACGGCGGAAGCCCCTGGGCCACGCGCTCCATCACTGCAGCCGCCTCAGGTGAGGGAAGGCCAGTCCTAGAGGCAATGCCTGCACCGGTCCCCTCGGCTGTGGGATCTAGAAGACGGGCTGGCGGCACAGTGCTAACTGCAAGGTCTGCCATTCCGAGGGAGCAAGACGGGGCTCTTGGCTCCTGCACAGCTACAGTGTGGGAGACTCACGGGCAGTTCTGCCCTGTCCTAATGGCATCCCCCCGATGGCAGTAAGATGGGTTTTTGTCTTGGTGTGATCTTGAGGGAGATCTGGTGGCGTCGTGGTTAAAACACGAAGCTACTCCCCTACAGGTCAGCAGTACAGACCCACCAGCCTTTGAGGGACATAAGCAGAGTGCTTCCGTGAAATTCACAGCCCTGGAAGCCCAATGGCGCAGTTCTACCCAGACCTGTAGGGTGGCTAGGAGTGAGTGGGCTCGGTGGCAGTGGGTGGGTTTGGGGTGGCCTCCAAGTAAAGCGCTTCCCGGGGGCGGGGGTGGGTGGGGGAGGTTCGTAAATAGTTTATGCAGCGCTTACCACTACTACTTGGGCACCCAAGACTTGTTCCTGCTGGAGTCACAAGTGGCCCTAGGAACTGCTTGGTTAGGCGTCTCCTCTGAGAGGGGTACCTGGGTCTGGCAGCACCCTCTCAGTTGGAGATGACTCTCAGCCAGGTGGGAGTGAGTATTGTGTGGGGAATGAGTGGGTGGCTAAGTCATGGCCAGTGGGGTTACACAGAATATAACAAAGGTCTGTTCTAAGCATGGGTAAAATTGACCAACTGTCTTAAAAAGATGACCTTTTCCCTAGTTGTCCCCTTCTCCACTTAGAGGTCACTGCCAGCCCAGGAACAGCCCCAGGGGACACAGTTGAACCACATGGCTCAGCACGATTAGTATGTTTTTTCTCTGGGTTCCATTCCACCCGTGGCCTTCTCTGGGGCCTGCCAGCAAAATATTAGGCCTGAGGGGGACTCTGAGATCAGCTGGCCCTGGGCTGGCTAATCAGCCTCACTGCCTGTTTGCAACTCCACCTGAGCAGTAATCCCTGCTTACAATTTGTGAAGAAAGCCCTTGGTTGCTCAGGTCACTGGGTGGGGGTGGGGGGTGGGGGGGATGAGCAAAGCATCCTAACTGCTTACAGATTCCACCCAGAGAGGAGGTGAGAGGCCCATGGAGTCCAGCCCTTTTATTGGCAGAGGGATCTGAAGGCTTGGCCTGAAGTTGTACAGCCCTCTGGGGCCATCAAGACGGAGTCTGGCCAGGATCAGGTGCTTAGTCGCCCTCGTTGGACTCTCCCACTGATGCTGGCTTGTCACCTTTGCTCCCTGCAGAGTCCCAGAGCTCCACGCTCCACTGGCAGACCCACAGAGTACTGCCGAGGGGACAGTGGCCAGTGAGCAGTGTCTGAACTCTAGGAGGACAAGTGCCAGGATCCGACAGAACTGGAGGAAACCGGACCCCACTAGCTACCTTCACCAAATCAGACACTGAAAGGAGTGAGACATGGCTCGATCTCCCCCAGGAATCCAAGACTTCCGACAGAAAGCATGGGGAGTGGAGACGAGAGAACTGAGGCAGGTGGCCCAATCGGGCAAATGAAAGAGCCCACAGCCTCTGGTCGGCTCAATTCCAAGCAGGCCTGGAAGCTTCCAGGATGTGGGACCCACTCCTCATCTGACCGAGAAGAAACCCCAGCAGCCCCTGCCTCAGCCCTTCCCCACCTAACACACTACACCTGGGCTGCATGCTATTCCCCCAGGAGGCAAGAGCAATGCGCCTGCAGACTCAGCCTGCCACCAGCCCTGCTACTAACCCTGTTATACCACCATCTGTGACCGGGAAACCCGTCCCACACACCTTGGCCTAGGCAGGCCGGCACAAAAACACTGAAAAGCGGCAAATAAAAACATTTGCTTCAAGAACTGTGTGTCTGTGGCCAAAGGGGTAGAGTCCAGAAGCGGAGACCTGGCACTGGGGTACAGGGCAGTGCTCACTGCAGGGAAGGGGTGCTCCCAGGAGGAAGAACTGGTGGCCTCTCCTGATTCCCCAGCCATTGGGTGGAGGGTAGGGGGAATGGAAGCACCTCCATAGGCTGCCCTGAGCCGCAAGAGGACACATGGCTTCAGCTCTTGTGGGATGACTCAACCATTCCTCAGTTGGTGGGGCAGCCACACCAGTCATCTCTGGGCCTCCTGATCCAGCCTAGGGCTCCCAAACCTGGAAGGGTTGCAGGGGAGGGTTTTTGACGACCATTCTGGACTCAGTCCAAAAGAAACCCAGTATGTGCTTATTAGCATTCAGCTCTGGTCCCTAGCCCAACCTGTCTACTAGATTACCCAACCCTCTAAGACCAATGGAGCCAATATTCCCCATGGGGCAGAGATGCATATGTGGGGCAGGACTGCCCTCTTGTGGCCGAGCGGAGAAGGCAGCACCACATGCAGGCCCAGTCCTAAACCCCCACACCCTAGCAATGGATGATGTTGGGACTCAGAAGGGTGTGTACTGGAGGAAGCAGTCCCTGAACATATAGGGCAATCCCAAGCAGGGGCACATCTCATAACCAAACAATGCACTTCTGCAATGAACAATTCATGCTGAAAGGACACACGATGATCCTATCAACAGCTGCCTACTGCTAGCAGGATTTGGCCCAGGTGTGGGTGTCAACAGAGTTATACACAGAAGACCTGTATAGTATTTGTCCCAAAGGGGCTATGGTCGTGTACGTGATTAAGCACTCCATGAAAACTGAAAGGTGAGTGGTTGGAATCCACTGGTTGCTCCAAGGGAGAAAAGACCTGGCAGCCTGCCCAGCGATGAATCTGCTGAGGAAACCCTCCCAGACTTGAACGCGTCACAGGGAGGGCCGGGATGGCACACAGGAGCCGTGCCTTGGCAACTCCCTGGACACAAAAGCCATCCCACCTTCTTTCTCTTCCCTCCCCACAGAAAAGGCTGGATGAAAATTATCAGAATTGGGTTTGTTATTCATACATTTGCTTTGATTTAAATACATTACATACAATTTCTACAGTGCATTAGAAGGACAATACAGGGGCAGCAGCACTCAGCCAGCCTCCACTCCCAGACCCTGAGGTCAGGGCTACGGCTGGGAGGGGGCAGGCAGGACCGTTAGGTGTGCCACCTAGAAGCCTACCTTGGCCCTGTGGCCCCCTGGTCTCCCAAAGTCCACATTCAAGGCAAACTGAGTACAGGCTCCTGCGGAGAACGGAGCCAGGCCAGGGAGGGTCACCTGCTAGGGACCAGCAGCACCCTCGCACATTGGACCCCATTTTCTTCTGATCCCGGGGGCTGGCTGGGATCAGAGCAACGAGCGTGTTTGGCTTGGCTGGGCGGACCTACCAGGCTCCCATTTGGCCTCTTCAGGCCCGCCCAAACTCTCCAGTGAAGAGCCTGCTCCTTGTCCAGCTGCATACCCCTGGGGGTTTCCCCTGACCGCCTGCAGCCCTAGGCAGGCGCTCGCTCACTCATTCACACTGCAGGCAAGGCCCTGGTCCCAGCGATGGTGAGGGCTGGGGCAGGCAGGGGAGCTTCGTTTTCCCCACAGGCCATGCAGAGCCAGTTCTGATAGACTGTCCTGTCTGCTGGGGTGGGGAGTGGGGGTGCACAGGGCAAGGGGGCTCCTGGCCCTGAATGGAAGACCAGCCTGACCCAGCTGATGAAGCCTGCACCTCTCAGCTCTGTCTCCTGGTTTCCAGGAGCTGGGCTTGTAGACAGTACATGGCCTCACCCCCTCTTTGGTGGTTTTTCCAACCTTCAAGATAGCCAGTTTCCAAGGCTGATTGACCAATCCCAGGGTATCAGCACCTCAAAGCCTCCAGAAGCTGGGGCATGAGTATGGCTGCCCTCCAGCCTGAGACACCCTCTTTTAACAACACCCTGCTCCCGCCCGGCCTTTGCTTTGGTGTGAAAAGGGCCTGGACACCTGGCACGGGAGCAGCTCAGGGAAAAGACTGCGGAAGCAGAAAATGCACACCAAGCCGGGCAGGGATTGGGGGACGGTGTGAAGGCCACTCTCCTTTGGGTCCTGCCCTTCTTAAAAAGCCATGGAGAAACCGGCAAGGGCAAAGAACCAGAGCGCAGAGGGAAGTTGCCGAGGACAGAAGGCAGGTCCTGGCACCTCCATCAAGCAGCCCCCCGCCAAAAAAACCACCCCAAAATCTAATCTAATCTGTTGGCTTCCGAGCTGAGATCCACCTCAGAACCCAGAACTGAACTCCTGAGAGGTGGGGGGGGTGGGAGTTCACATGAAAAAGAACAAACCAGAGGACAGAGTTGATGGGCTAGGGCCAAGGACTCAGAGGAGCTAGGGGAGAGCGAGGTTCAGCTGTAGCTCAAGCACAGCTCCTGGTGTACACTGAGACCAAGGTGGCTCACTGTTACAGGCTGGGGAATCTTCCTACTAAAATACAAACCACGAGGCTAGCCCCATCCACCTTTATCTGAAGTGGCAGGTAAGCTGCAGGCCTGGGCTAGAGAGGCTACACTCCCAGTGGGCAGAACAGAGCACGGGGAAGGTCCAGTGACCTGTGCAGACCTGCTGGGAGGGCTGGAACACAAACATCCGGTCAGGGGGCTTCCAGTCAGCCCTTAGCATTGGTGAGGGGAGGAGGGGAAGAAGAGTTGGCAAAACCCCACACCCACAGGAAAGGGGAGTGCCCCTTTGGCCTGGCTTCAGGGAAGCAGTGTCTGGGCCCATGCAAACGTGGTCTGGACGGGAGGTTTCTGACGTGACAGGCTCTGGGGTTCTGCCTGGTATTTGCTACTAGCGTTGATGTGTTTGCTTTTGCTGTTTTCTGATGCAGAATATAACCAAGAGTGAGTAGTTGCAGCAGAACAGGGAGGAAGGGGGGTTGGCCGGCTGGCCTGCCACCAGGAGCTGCTCCTTCCAGGCACTCGGCTGGAGCTCACACCTGCCCCAGCACTCAGAGGGCCCAGGCACACCCACTGCCCTGATTGTGCTTCTCCCTGGGCTTGGGAAAGCCCTGAGAGGGTGGGGCGCAGACAGGGAGGGCTTTGAAGGGCACCGCTCAGGACTGGCTACCCGGGCTTTTCTGGCAACCCAGTGCCCAAGCCTCCTCCCAGCCGAGGCTCAGACAAGACCTCCCGGGCCTGCCTTGGGGGTGGGGCTACCACCACGAGAAGAAGGGCTTCCGGCTCTGAAAGCTCTGTGTGTAGGACTCGCTGGTCGACCGCTGATGGGAGCGGGCTGTCTCGACAATCACGGGCGGCATCTGGACGAGGTGCAGGGGACTCTTGTTGTCTTTCAGGGCCTGGCTCAGGTTTAGGATCTGTGGGAGGGGGAGCAAGAATCAGTCCGGGAAAGCCTGGGGCTCCAGGTCTGCGAGGCCCTCAGCAGATCAGCCCCCACGATGGACAAGCTGGAAGACAGCAAAGGCAGAGGTTCTAGATGATAAATCTCTACAGGACTAGAAAGCCTTCTCCTCCCATGGAGCGGCTGGTAGTTTTGAAGTGTGGACTTTGCAGTTAGCCGCCCAACACATAGCCACTACACCACCAGGGCTCCTGGACACCTCTCTGGCCTTTTAAAAACATGCATGCAATCTGGGGCCTTGCTTTGGGCCCTGCCAGTTAGGAAAGCTACAGGCCAGTCCTCGGTATTGGAGACGGCTGAGAAACAGGCCCGGCAAGGTGACTTGAACTTGGGGTGGTCTCTGGAAAAGGCACGTTGAAAGAAGCATCAAAAGCTTACACATGAACCGATTCTTTGAAGCAGCAGTTCTGTTCATATGGACTGACTCACAGGCTCTCACAATTGATTCATTCCAGAAAATAGAATGCAGTGCTGCTTGTGACTGAAACTGATACAACTGGCCCCAGGAGCCGAGGATTAGGTGATAGTTTCAGGATTAAGAGCGGGGTCATTAAAATGTGCAGAGATCCATTTTCTGACACTGGAAGCCGATCACAACATTGGTGAACAAAAAAGGACCTGGTATTGGGACTGTGCTTCGGGATAGTGACAACGCCTGACATTGCCTAGCTCCCTCTGGGAGAACTGACAGAGAAGCAATCCTGTGACTGAGAGCGGACGGCCACAGCTACTGTCTGTGCCAGACACTTGATAATCCTCCAGCCCACCTGACCAGGGCCTCCTCCCATTACACCGTAGCAACAAGGTCTTGCCCAAGACCACAGACCGTGTGAAGGAGAGAAGGGATCCAGAACCCAGCTCTTCTCCATCAGGCGGGGCTGCCTGCCTTCAACAACCTAAAGACCAGGTTTGGTTACCGATGAGTTATCCATCGACTGGCACAGGGTCAGTGCTTCACAAAGCACTGGATAACATGAACAGATGAGAACATCGGAGGGCTACCTTTCCTCTCTCATGGGCCATGGCAGAGCCACAAATATATAACATGTCATCGATGAAAGAGGGCTACTGCAACGCACAGATCGCAGCCTGGGAGTAAGAGCTCAGGAGCGGCCGTCGAAGGTGCAACTACAGGTAAAGACACACAGACTGATAGTCGATGTGAAAAGCAACCTCCACAACCCCAAGACCGAAAAAACCAGCTGGTGCCCACCTATGCCTACCGACTACCCTGAAGTGGATTGCATTAGAAGGTCCTGGAGAGAGTGGGAGGAAAACGTGGGCCAAAACTCAACATGTAAAAACAGACCCTGCGTACTGGACAATCTGGTGGAACCCCTCCCCCCGGGCTCTGGCCCAAAAGAACTCACTCCATGGCTCCATTTTTGGGCAAATCATAGCAGGTCTGTAAGGGGAACAAAACCACCTTGGGAGGCGGTTCATACATACGTACACCTTGGAACAAGCAACTACTGGACACCAACAGGGCAGCATTTCCCCAAAGACGGAGTTCAGGAGGGTGGGATCAGAGCACATGGAGGAAGTGGGAAAGGGCAGCTGCCTGTGGGGGTGCAGGGTGCCCTCCGTGATGTGAGACGATGCACGCATCACTGGATGGAGAACCATTCTGCTCCATAAACCTTCACCCAATTCACAGTGGGAACTTAAGACCGTCACCACAGCCACACAAGCTGTACCCGCTGCGCTGCCCTGCTCTCTGTGCACACGCGCCTCCCACCCCAGGGAGACACTGCAGGAAGCCCCAGGCTTACCTGGCCCCGCATGACGGCGATCTGCTTGTGGAACTGGCCCCTGTCGAAACCGGGATCTTTCTGTAAAAGGAGAGACGGATGGAACCTGCATGAACCCCTGAGGAGCCCATTTTCTACCCCCAGTGATTAAACGCCCACAGAAAGGGCCTGGAGAAGTGGACTACCCTCCCAAGCTCTCCCATTTTCCAGTAGATGAAGAACAAGCAAGTCTCTCAGTACTACTGCACTCAAGCTCCGCGTGCTGCCACGGCCAAGAACTCTGCATGCACATGCAGCCGCACCATGCACAGGAGAGTCAGCAGTGCAACCTTCCACACCAATCCACACCAGGTCCTGCGGTCCACGGGCGCGGGCCTTCATGTCAGGGGCTAACCCCATCCTGAAGGGAGTTAGCCATTGCCACTCAGCTTGTCTGAGGGCCCGTTAGAAAGAGCCGTTCCAGGGCCCTTCTTCCAGGTGCTAGTAAGACGGAGAGTCCCAGGGCTGACCTTGAAGAGATCAAATAGGTCCTCCTCCAAGTCCTTGACGAAGTTAGGGTCCGAGATCTTTGGAAGAATCAGATCTTTGATCTCCTGAGAGAATGGGATTTTTGCTTGAGGCAACCAGGCCCAGTAAAAAGGATCTGAAAAGAAGGAAAGACAGGAGCAGAGTTGGTGTTGGGAAGTCCCTGGCCCTCCGTCCTCGGCTCAGCAGAGGGCTGCACAGACGGATCCCTGCCTTCCCAGCGGCACAAGGGCCAGGGGGCCTAAGGTTACAGGAGTCAGTGGAGGAAGCAGGGTTTGAAGCCGGGTCTGCCTGGACCCAGACAGCACACAGCCTCCCCAGACCCCGCCTGCTTAGAAGCAGCTACTTGCTAATGAGACAGTGAACTGGTGCTTCGGGAGAGGCACAGTAGTGCTGCAAAAGAGGCTAGAGAACCCCCCTACTTATATCCTGCCTCGTCAAAAAGAACCTTCGTTTTAATGGTGTGGACGCTGGCTTCTAGGGCCGTAAGGAAGATGGAACGTGGACAGCAGCTTACACTTACAGGCACCAAGGGTACGAAGAACTTAAAAAAACTCATGGAAAGATGGACTTAAAAGATAATTAGAATTTTCCCACAAACTTGTTGATGATTCCCTCACATATTACAATGACTGGAGTCCTCAAAAAGATTTCGTTTCCATCAAAATGGAAAACGGGGATGAAAAATTAAAAGTTTAGACTTCCAGTGGGAATCATACAAAATAAAATGTACCAGGTAAACATGCGGCCATCTAGCTCAGAAGCAACAAAGTCCACATGAAAGAAGCACACCAGCCTGTGTGATCACGAGGTGTCAAAGAGATCAGG